AAGAAAGAAAGAAAAGAAAGAAAGAATCAGCCACACCTCTCCTCACCCTCTTCCTCTTTCTGGAGTTGCCCTGGAATGCAGCCACAGAGCCTTTGTCTGTGGACTTGGCAGGTGACTGTGGTATGCTGCTTTCTGTCCCATTAACCTCTATTTTATCTGTCAAGAATAGTATTCCCCATTGTTGAAAGCAGCAATTTGCCAAGCAAGCAAGCCTGGGGTTCTGTTTGATGGAGCATTATAGTGAGCAAAAGGGAAAGTTTAAACAGATTTGCCTCTCTAATTTCCTGAAAAGATCACAGACCAAACTTGCCCTCTGGTAAAATGCTTTCTGTTTGTATTATAATCACAAGTATTTATTGCTATGACAGGGGAAGAGAGAGACCCATGAGAGAATGTACCCATATTTCCTGGTTCCATTTAGTTCCATTACAACTCTATTTTAAACATGTAAACTTAGGGAACTCCATTTTCCTAATAGCCTAAAGTATCCAAAGAGACTTTCCTTCTCTCTCTGTAGAACAGTGATTTTTGTATTATTATTAAGTCTATGAATTTTAACAAGGAGTCATACTCAGAGAGATCTACTTTCACTCCCCCTCCTCCCACACACTTTTTTTTTTTTGCAAAGTTCAGGGTATAGTATCAAAGCTATGGAAAATAATCTAGTTTGTCACAGACTGCTAAGTGTTTCACTTATACATTTGTAAGTTCATGAAAAATAAATTCCTCATATTGGTTTATTTTATTGAACTGATTGTGTGTGTGTATGTGTGTGTGTGCGCACGTGTGTGTGTGTGTGTGTGTGTGTGTGTGTGTGTGTGTGTATACTGGGGCTGGAACTCAGGATCAAATGGTTTCCCACCATTTGAGCCACACCTCTACTTCCAACTTCTTGCTGATTAATTAGAGATACTAGTTTCACAGACTTTCATGCCCAGGCTGGCTTAGCACCATGATTCTTAGATCTCAGCCTTGTGAGTAGCTAGGATTATAGGCATGAGCCACTAGCACTGGTACATTGGACTGAATTTTTATACAACATGTAGAGTAATAAATACACATGCATTATCAATATTAATGTATATTGTTGGAGTCAATGAACATGTTGGAGGAGGAGAGTAAGAGGAGAGACTTAAAGAGAGAAGGAATCAAGAATTATGTGGTTGCATTCAGCTCAGGATGAGTTGATGGGCTCAAGCCTGTAATCCTAGCTTTGTGGAAGGTAGAGAGATCCTAGGCCAGCTTGGGCAAATGTATATGAGACTGAATCTCAGCCAATGCAAGCTGGGGTTACACATATCTTCCCAGATGTTTGGGAAGTGTAAATAGGCAGATTATGATCAAGCCTGGCATAAATGTGACACCTTGCATTATAACCAGAGCAAAAAGGAATAGAGGTATGGCTCAAGAAGTAAACTGCATGCTTAGCAAATATGAAGTTTTGAATTAAAATTCTAGTACTGAAAAAAAGAAAGAAACAAGAATTAGGTGTTTGATAATGACTTAAGAGTCATTCATAAGCCATAAGTCATTTGGCTGACATTATCCAAAAAGAAAGGTATTCTTTGCCTGACTTATGTAACTGTAACCTCTCTGTACATCACCTTTACAATGACAATAAGAAAAGAGTCATAAGTATTTCTACAGATTTACTCAAATCCTGTTACATGCATCTCTTACTGGGGTGATAGTAACCATTTCTCGCTTCTCAAAATATGTATGTGTTTGTAAGTATTGTATGTATTTTTGAGGCTGAATTTGTAGCCATATTTCTATTTAATCCAAAATGCTAGATCCAATCCATATTAAAATCATGTGTGACTTCACTCCCCTACCTACAGTTAAACTGTTAGTTATTCAAAAATGTCACACCATTGGAGAATCCTCCCCTGCATTTAGCATCCGTTAGCTAATACTTATATATATATATATATATATATATATATATATATATATATATATATATATATATATATACACGTGTGAACCTGTATGTGAACCTGCCCATTTCTCTGCAGATTTGTTCCATCTTTGAAATACATTCCTACTGTCATATCTTCTATTCCCAAATAATCATCCTTGCTAGTAACTTTTTCTTGAGAAAATGTCCAGTAATTAGTAAAGAGTTACATACTCCGCTTTCCATGAGAGGTCATCGAACTGTATGTAGGTCAATACTTGATTCATAATGAGCAATGGCTTAGAATCCTTATTATGAGTTGTGTGTGGAACAGATAGACCACATATTTTGCTGACTCTGAAAGGTTCTGAACCACTGACTATCTATTAGCTGCCTATTAATTCTCATTCCTAGATTTACTTAATCAGCTAAAGAACAATTCAAAATGGAGATGGTTCCCAAGACTCAGAGTCACATTAGCCATAGATTGTCAGCAAGTGTGGTCCAGGAAATAGGACTCTTTTACCCTTGAAAAATGCTTATTCTGTCAGTATTAATGGAGGTCATTGTACCTCTGAGACCTGCCCCAAAGTGGAGATGTGATCCTTCAGAATCTATTATTTTGTTAAATTTAACACTCTCTGTAGGAGGCTGGAAATGCACATTTGGTTTGAGAATAGCTCTCCAAAAGTTACTCTTGAAATAAAATCCCAGAATCACTCTGTTTCTCAGAAACTGACTTCCTGCCTGCTCTGCATCCATTTGCTTTTCTTTCTTTTTTATCTTGCCTTTCATACAACATGATTTATGAAGCACTAGAGTAAGGCAGGCATGGTGGGGGGCGGGGGTAGAGTGGGGAACAAAGTATGCACAAGCTTCCCCTTATTGAAGTTTTCATTTTCCGGATAGTAAAGTGAGAGGGAGGGGCAGGTGGAAAGTATCCTTACAGAGGTTCCATTTGAGAAGAAGCCAGCTTTCCAGGGATCAGGAAGTAGACCTTTCTGGGTAGAAAGAAAGAAAAGGAAAGAGGAGAAGAGGGGAGAGAAGAGGGCAGAGGAAGGCAGGGGAAGGCAGGAGACAGGAATGGTTGGGAAAACAGGGGAGAGGAGAGGAAAGGGGGGAAGGAAAAGGGAATAGAGAGAGGGAGGAGAGTAGAAGGACAGAGAGGAGAGGAGAGGAGAGGAGAGGAGAGGAGAGGAAGGAGAGGGGAGGGGAGGGGAGGGGAGGGGAAGGAAGAAGAAAGAGACAGGAAAAGAAAATGGAGGAGAAGGGGGAGGGAAAGGAGGAGGGAAGGAAAAAAGAAAAGTAAGGATTAGAACAATTTTCAATGAAACAATACCCAATGAGAGGACTTGTTTTTGGAGCATATTCAAAGAATATCTTGGATGCCATTGAAAAATGTTTATTAACCCATATAGAATATTTTACATTTACAATTCTTGTTCTTAGCTTCAGGAAGCCAGTTTGAATAATAACTTAGTTCTTTAGCAATTGTGAGCATACCACTTTGGGTGTTGCCAGCTTTCCTAAAGTTTAATTTCCTTGTTGGAATAGTTCACCTTGCGGTGTTATTAGAAGAATCAACAGAGCCAATATAGAAAAGAAATCTTGTGTGTTTTAAATCCATTACTAATAACCACCCAACTGTGAGAAATCAGGACCCATTTGGACTGCAGTCATTACATGTTCACTTAAATGATACCTTCAAGTAAAAGTGAGTGTTGACACAAAGAGAATCTGGGAGTTTTTGTTCTCTAATTTAAACAATAGAGTGTAAGTCATTTGACAATTTCATATAGTATCATTCTTCCAAGAGCTCTCCTCCTTAGAGAGCCTGTTCTATATTTTTAAACTTTTCCCCCTATAGAACTGGTTTCCGATATATGTGAGCTTCAGTTAAAGACATTAAACTTGGTCAGGCATCTGTAGTTCATGTCTGTAATCCTAGATTTTAAATAGGCTGAGATTTGAGGGTTGAGATTCTAAGCCAGCCTGGACAGACAAATACTCCAGACTCTTATGTCTATTTACCAGCAAAAAGCCAGAAATAGAAGTGTGGCTCAGGTATAGAATACCAGCCATGAGGGAAAAAGCCAACTGAGAGTAGGAGGCCCTGAGTTCACATACCATTACTGATAAACACACACACACACACACACACACACACACACACACACACACACACACACACACACACACAGAGCAACATAAAAGTATTACGCTGGGCACCAGTGGCTCACACTTGTAATCCTAGTTATTCAGGAGGTTGAGATCTAAGAGTCTCGGTTCAAAGCCAGCAGGGACAGAAAAGTTTGTGAGACTATGATCTACAATAAACTATCAAAAGCCGTGGCTTTTTAGAGCTGTGGCTCAAGTGGTAGAGCACTAGCTATGAGTAAAAGAAGCTCAGTGACAGTGCCAGGTCCTGAGTTCAAGACCCAAGAGCAGCACGCGCGCGTGTGTGCGCACGCACACACACACACACACACACACACACACACACACACACACGGTGTTAAAGTGTGGTTCACACCATCCATCACCTCTCCTAACCTGCTTATTGCTGTTCCTCCTTTGATTCAGCCAGGGATGTGGACAATGAGAGAGGGAAATGAGGTTCTGGCCTCTAAGCTGCATGAGTCACAGACCTCTTTCTTGCTTTTTTTTTTTTTTTTTTTTTTGGTCAGGTGTGGGGCTTGAACTCTGGGCCTGGAGCACTGTCCCTCAGCTATTCAGCTCAAGGCTAGTGCTCTACCACTTGAACCACAATGCCACTTTTGTTTTTTTTTTGGTGTTTTTTACTGGATATAAGAATCCACAGACTTCCCTACCCAGACTGGCTTTGAACCACGATCCTCAGATCTCTGCCTCCTAAGTAGCTAAGATTACAGGTGTGAGCCACCGCCACCCGATTCTCTTCCTTGCTTTCTACATACACAATTGTTCTTGCTTTCTTTGTTGTCAAGGTAGTTTTGACATGTTACCATTCTACATGAGTGAGAACACCTGGTTCCAGTGGATATCTCGGTGCACACACACACTAGAAGCAACAAGCCTTCTCAAAGCCATGCTCACCTGTCTCCCCTTGCTTTATCCCTAGGTAAGTGTGAAATCGGCTGGGCCTACTACTGCACAGGAGCAGGTGCGGCAGCTGCCATGCTTCTGTGCACATGGCTGGCTTGCTTCTCGGGCAAGAAGCAGAAGCACTACCCATATTGAGAATGGAGCCACTGGGAGACAGCAGAGGAGAAGATGGGCCACAGGGGCTTGAAAGGGCCAAAGCATCCGGCAAATTTGCAAAAGGTGGACTAGTGCTTCTAAACCAGTGCACTGCTAATGAAAGGAAACCAAGAACATCTTATGGAAAGAAAGGATGGTGTGCGACTTGTGAAAACAACGGAGGATGGAATGATGGAGAAAAAGTGGACCAAAGGCTTACACTCTTGCAGGGTACCTGCTGTCCCTATTCCACAGAGTATTGTGGCATGTCACACACAAAGCAAATCTATATAACAGGCAGACAAAAGTCGAGGTTTGTTTTGTTTTTTGAAAAAAGAGAGATACTCTGGAAAATCCAAAGGGCTAGTAGAAACAGTACTATCCTGGGAAGCAGGGTACTCCACAGATGATCCCTGAAAGTGAGGATGCTTCTGGAAGCACATGAGCACATACCCACACAGCCATGCACACACATGTAGCCCATCATACACGCAGCACGGGAGACATAGCAGTGCATTGCTCCTCTGTCTTTTTTTTTTTAATACACATTGAAAATACAGTATTATCACTTTACAAAGCAGCCATTGAACTTAGTAAATGGACCAATATGCCACTCATGTCAGTATTTTGTACCTCCTGCATAAACTGTTCAAACCCTCAATCCATCTTCAGCGTTTACGCAGACTTTTAGAGTTAAGCCTTCCTATTTCAATTTCTTCCAAGGTATGCAATATTTCTCTGAGTAGCTTCTGCTTTGATATTCTCCTGAAGAAAAAGGGGGTAACTTTCTACCCACTGTAGGAAAGAATCCAGTTGAAAATAGGAAGTCAAGAGAGACATTTTTCAGTCATTAGCTCGTGTTCTCTTTTGTCCATTATTGTACTGTGCTGTAACCACATTTAGTTCAATATCCATTTTGTAAAAAAAATATTGAAGTGCTATTTTGTTTGTATTTGAAAAGCTCTGTGAATAAATTCTCTCTTTGATCAATAGTTCGATGAGTGATGGCATGTTAATTCAGTTATTGGGTTTACTTCTTTAATTTCTTAAAAATAGCCTTTTCACGGCAACAGAGTCCTCTTAATCTTCCTTTTGTCTTTGGAAGCTTCTCATTAATTTGTTAACTATCCACCAGGCATTGTTCTGGACCTATAATACACTAAAAGTAAGAAATAGCTTCTGCTTTTCACTGAAAATGCTATCTAATTTTATTACTTCGAAGTAGTTGTATAAAGGAGTTACCATTTAACAAATCAGTTTGTGAATGCTGGGCATCTTGATTGCTAAATTCTTTGCAATCAAAATTCTAACATTCCTAGAAGAGTTTGAATCTCTTTTGTATTAAGTTTGAGAATAGAGGCAGTAAGAGATAGAACACATTCAGGAGGGGTCTGAGGTGACAGTCTCCAGAATGATGACAGGATTGTCACAAGTTGCTGAAGATAAGTTGCCTTTCCATCTTCTCACAGTGTGTGTGAGTGGAGGGTGTCCTCTGTGCATGTGTGTCAGGGGCAATTTCACACCACTTTCACTTAGAGACTTGGCTACTTGAGAATGATTATCTTCCACTCCTGATCCCAGCAGAAAGTTTTGATGAAAAAAGAAACGTTTATACTCCTTAATGACCCCCCTCACAGAATGTTGTCAGTTGTTCCTGGAGAAAAAAAAATGGATACCAGAAAATAGATGTACTCTGTAGTAAGCAAGTCTAAATTATTGTAGCAAATCCATTTACAAAAATCAGTTTTATTTGGGCACTGGTGGCTCACACCTGTATTCCTAGCTAACTCAGGAGGCTGAGATCTGAGGGTTAAGATTTGATGGCAGCCTGAGAAGAAAAGTCTGAAAGACTCTTATCTGAATCAACCACCAAAAAGACAGAAATGGAGCTGTGGCTCAAGTGGTAGATACTAGCCTTGATCATAAAAGCTAAGGGGCACAGAAATGGGGAGATACTGGGTGAGCAAATGTAGCAATTGTAGACACTGGACACTATGCTGAAAATGAATTATAGAACTGTGGATGGGGATGGGAGGGAAAAACTGGGAGAAAGCAAGGTCCAAAAAGAAATGTACTCTTTACTTGATTTATGTAGTGGTAACCTCTTTGTATATCACCTTTATAAAAACAATAAAAAAAATTAAAATAAAAACAAACAGAGACAGTAAGCACCCGGGCCCCAAGTTCAAGTCCCAGTTCTGCTATACACATAAACAACATTCAGTTTCAATTAGTTTCTAAATTACACTTCCTATTTGGAAATTGAACATTCTGGCAATTTATTTCCTGCAACTGTATTTTCTGTGTTCTCGCCACACATTTCTTTATTGAACTTGAATATTTGAATTATCACACTTGCTTCAGATATTTTGCTTCTTTCTAGGTCAAGAACCTATGCTACTTTGGAAGAACAATATAAGACTTTAGCCCAGAAAACTCTAGATTTCCAGAGACTTTGTGACTGTGGAGAAAGCCATTCGACTCTGAAATGCTTAATTCATCGTGTGTTCAATGTCATCTGATTATGTCTCATTGTCTGCAGAGTAAGTGCTGCTTCACTTCACCCTGGTTTCCTGTGGAGAATGGAAGATTGCACTTTGCTTCCTCAATTAGCCCATCATTTTCATGAATTGCTGATGTTTTTCTTTTTTTTTTTAACTGTACCTTCCTGTCAGAATAACATAGTAGCTCCCATTATCAAGCCAGATTCTGTATGGAATTCATTAAATTCCTTAGACAGACATAGTGATCACATTGTCATTTCTATGTGGTCTGCATGATTTTTAGACTTTCATGGGATTCACTCATTCACTCGAATAAAAGTTGACCTCTCTTACACAATAAAGTCAGACGAAAAACCCTTGCCAGGCAAGGCTTAACTAGTCATTTGTACCAGGATTTAATGAGGAATATCTAATTTGTGTGTATGTGTCTGCGTCTGTGTCTGTGTATACCAGCCCTGGGGCTTGAACTCAGGGCTTAGGTACTGCCTCTTAGTTTTATTGCTCAAGGCTAGCACTCTACTGCTTGAGCCATACTTCCATTTACAGATATTCTGGTAGTTAATTAGAGATACAAGTTTCATGGGACCAGCCTGAGATGGACCATGATCCTTGGATCTCAACCTCCTAAGTAGCTAGGATGACAGGCATGAGCCACCAATTCCCAAAAAGGAGCATCCCATTTATTAAGAAAAATATATACTGCTTTTCAGATTCAAAGCAGGATTCATGAAATAATGACAAAGGTTGTTAAAATTATGGACAGACGCTGCTGAGTTTGTGACGGAGTTAAAGACTGATAAACTATCACTAAGCTGAAATTTTCTAAACAAAAATATATATTTAATGTATGTAATCTACCGAACATTTTAGTTTAGCAATAAGGTATTATAGATTAGCATTTGCTTATCCTGGGGTGGGGGGTGTACAACTGACTAGGCACTGACAAGGCTCAACACAACAGTGGTGACCCTCTGTTGGAGTGTCAGGATCTGCTACTAAGGTAGTAAGGAACTTCCTGGGGTGGGGAAATGTTGTTTGGGGATGGTAACTACACTGGAGACTACAACTTGCCAACATCCACATATGTTTGAACTGAAAGTTTGAATCCCATTGGACATCCAATCAAACAGGAAGGCAGGAGGGCCGATGGGACTATGAACCATCCCCACTGGGGCAGGGAGAATACATTTGTGTCACAGTGGGAGATGAGGCTGAAAAAGAGCAGAAAGTGCTTTGGGTATTGTGCTAAAACTCACAATGGACTGCAAGACAGTGGAAGGCTTTGGAGGAGGGGAGATACGGCATGAACAACTTGAATCTTTTAGAAAGATTTCTGGACCAAGTTTGGTGAGTCACTGAGTGGCTGGGACAGGGAGAGGAATTATAAGCATCATTATGATAAACAATGATAAACAAATGTTCTTGATGATTCTGGGGTCTGAATGGTTAGGAAAGGGAGGTTAATAAATAAAGTGATGTCCCTATGTACAAAATGATAAGGCCAAACTAGGCAAAAATTAGGGAAGTAGGGAGGTAGGGAGGATAGGAGACATCAGAGGATGCAAACTCAGTGGATCTATAGAACACAGGGAGTGAGATGGAGTGACGTGTGGGCCTCTTCTCTGAAGTGGGCAGCTAGATGTATATATATGTCATGAACAGAGACAGGATAGGGGAGAATGAACATGCTATTCCACACTGCTTACCTATGCCAAAACCTTGTGTAGTACTCCACAAATAGGTCCAATTTATTTTTTTATGTGTGTGCCTGTACTGGGGCTTGAACTCAGGGCTTCTCCTCTCTTTCTTGCTCAGCTTTTTCATTCAAGGCTGACACTTTACCATTTCAGCCATTCTTCCACTTCCAGCTTTTTGATGGTTAATTAAAGATAATATTTTCTAGGATTTATTTACTTGGACTGGCTTCAAATGTCCATCCTCAGAACTCAGCCTCCTGAGGAGGTAGGATTACAGGTTTGAGTCACCTATGCCTATCAGTATGTTTAACTTTTATTGGTCAGCTAAAAAGAAATGAAATAGACCATCTAGAATTCTATGCCCATGAAAATCTTTCAAAAACCTGTATTTCAGCTGGGTGCCAGCGGCTCATGCCTGTAATTGTAGCTACTCAGGAGGCTGAGATCTGAAGATCGTAGTTCAAAACCAGCCCAGGCAGGAAAATCTGTAAGCCACTTATCTCTAATTAACAACCAGAAACTGGAAGTGGCTCAAGTGATAGAGTGCTAGTCTTGAGCTGAAGATGTCAGGGGCAGTGCCCAGGCCCAGACTTCAAGCCCCATGGCCAACAAAAACAAAACAAAACAAAAAGCAATATTTCACATAAAAATGGAAACCTTTTTACAGAAATATCAGAGTAGAAAGAGGCAGAAAGCAGGAGAGAAGAAAGAAGAGATACGAAGAGAGAAGAGAAAGGAAGGGGAAAAAGAGAAGGCGAGAGGGAGGGGAAGATAGAGATGGCAATGAAGGGCTTTGCATGATTTCTGTAAGATATATGGGTGTAGATGGCTAGTGAGCTCTACTTCTGGCTTTTTTTTTTTTTGGTAGTTTATTGGAGATAAGAGTTTCATAGGTTTTCCTGCCTAGCTTAACTTTGAACCAAGAACCTCAGATTTAGGATTACAGGCATGAGCCATCAGCACCTGGTTGATCTTATTTCTTTAATAAAATTTTCTAAGGATGAAAAAATAACAGTCTACAAAAAGTTGTTTGGTTCTTAGGCATATACCTAGACATTCGTACTCTTTTCTCTTGCTCATCGAAACTTGAGGTTCAGAATAATAAAAGCTCAAAAAATTATGATAACAAAGCAAACATGTAAGTGTAAATATGTAATGATACCAAGAAGAATGAAAGACTTGCAGATTTTACAGATGATCTTAAAAAAGACCTGACATTAATGCAGGAGTACAACACTTGATCATAAACGCTAGGCATGAAATTATTTGGAGAATTTCTGACCCCTGCTTTCATTTCTCCCTTGGATCACCTTTTCCACAGAACTGCTATATTATCTGTTTTCTCTGACACATGATGTCATGTCCACTGTGATCCTAGATGACTTCTTCCAGATTTCAGCTCTATACTCCTAACTCTTTTATCAGTTTATTTTTCTAGGGCATTTTGCTCTCCAATGGCCTGGAAACAAGTAGCTGTGAATTTGCTGTCTGAAATTCTCAGCTGAGCTTTGTGAATAGCTACCTGTGTTCCCTTGGCACCAATTTGCACCATTATCTTCCCTCTGTTACAGGCAAGAGAGTTTTAAACAAGGGAATTTTAAACTCTTTGGGCCAGAAAATCATTTTGGTTTTCCCATGTGAAAAAGGACAAAAGAAAAAGCCATTTCACTGGTGGCTCATACCTGTAATAGTAGCTACTGAGGAGACTGAGATCTGAAGGATCAGGGTTCCAACCCAACCAGAGCAAGAAAGTCCATGAAATTCTCTCTCTCTCTCTCTCTCTCCACACAC